ATGCAGGAAGGTCTGGACAGCAACTAGCACCTTATGTATCTAAGCTGCCATACAAATTGTGATCTACAATTTAAACTAGTCTAAACTCACTAACCAATCAAAACATTCATACATTAGTTACTTTAGTTTCAAAATGTAAATGACTCAAGATATGCTTGTTGTCTCAAGGTTTGTCACTAAATTTTAAAACTTGCATTTCACAAGGGGAGTGGTTTAGCACACAATACATTGGACCCCAGCAACCAGGATGTAACCTGGATATAACATTTCATCTTCACATTCATTGCATTTATTTCAAAACACTTGATGCAATATTCTTTTGAACCAACTTAGAGAAGAACATTATCTACAACAAATTAGTGTAATAACTTTAAAAAGCATATGAAAGCATTTCAAATAACATGACCCACATGCTTTCAAAAACGGTACATTAAGAATCATTTTGTTTACTAATATGCCACTCCCCTTAGCAACATGAGTACATGAACAACTTGAAGAGGTAAGAAACTATCACACTTTGTACTATATGCACTAAAAACAAACAAATGTAAATAGTAGATTGCAGAATCTCCTATTAAAACAAGATACCTTAAAGTGGTCAGGAAATGCAAGTCTCTTAGTTAACAAAGCTCTTCAAAACCCTGATATGTTCAGGACGCTGGTTACAATATGTAATAAATAAATCATAAATAAAGAATAAATATAAATTAATGTTTCCATACAGCAGCTGTAGAAACAAAACAATTTAGGCTGGACAAAATAACCTATAACACTTCACCAATTTCTCTGTCTAATCACTAAGGACTCTATAGACTTAGAACCAGTATAAATAAGGGTGGTATATCGCAGACAAGTGCCAAATTTGCCTCTTCATATTACAATACAAATATGCACACTATACAACTTTGACAATCGACTGGGTGCACAGTTTTTGTATATACCATGATTAAATCAAACACTGCAATAAATCAGTATTGCTGCATGTGCATCAAAGGACAATTTTTTTAGAAACATTTGTTTCCACAGATATTGATGCATCCATATCTTAATATATCATTGAGACCAGAAGTAAATATTGCAAAACACTCATCAATTACATTGATGTAGCGACAGAGACAAGTACTGAAGAAAATGTGGGATGTCTAATCCAATTGACTATTTTCTATGCATATTTTCTAAAGTATAATCATAGTGAGCACCTCATTCTCTACTTACTGGTCCTGCCCATAAACTGTCATGGCACTAAGCTAAATATTTCATTTTTGTTTACTAACACTAAAATATTTTGATCAATATTTGTGAATAATTAATTATTCCTCTAGAAATAAAGTGTTATATCACCCACAGTTAATATATTAAATCTACCACAGCCCATTTAATTAGTATCATATAATAATGTAATAAGTATAATAAGATTGTGCGAGTGCAAATGGGAATTATATTTATGTAATCATTTTTATGACAAGTCTCGTACAACTGTAGCCGAGGCAAAATACGGACATTTCAAAGGATCTGGACAAGCGTATTTTGATGAATACCCAACGACATTTACGATTGCACATTGACATTGAAGAGTTTCAACAGAATACACTGAACGTGTTTTCTAGGAGAAAAAGAGGCACAAACAACTTAGCCTAATGGCAGTTTTTAAACATGAATAGGAAAAGTCTACCCAAACACTCAGAGCAAGCTTCAAAACATCCGCTTTGCGCTACACTTGTAAACTTCTTGAAAGATAACAAGCACTGCACTAGTATTAAGAAATAACCTTTGTTAATTGTATCACAACCGTTAAGTCACTACTAAACAATACAATTTTAGCTCCCGAGCCAGTCAAAATACCAAATAGATTTAAAATAAATATTATGGTAACTATAACCACAAATGAAAAATAAATACATTTGATAAGCAATAAATACATTTAAACAAGTTATGAATCAGTAGTCAAAATTGCTAACATTATTGGCAGTTACAAAATTTTTTCCAGTGTTCACTGAAATGATTATCAATATAAATAACAAAATGCGACAAAAATGTGACAACTGACCCAGCTTCCTCAGGTTTGTTAAACTACAATCCATACCATGTCATACATACTGCTACTAGGAATGATCTCAAAACTCTTACCATTAAAATTTCACAATAACAAAAGAAAAAACCAACATTTAAGAGTTGGGATGGAAGCATTGTAAAATCTTGCACACTGTTCTTGTTGATAGAAATAGATTCTAAAGTGATGTAATAAAAATTTTCAGTTTAATAATTTAAAATAAAAATCTATCTCAGCTCATTAAAATACATTTACAGGGCACAATTGGCAAGATTAAGATCCTTTAAGCAAGAATTCAGCTTCTAGGAATTAGTTTCAATAGTACAAAGAAATTTATTTTGATCAGTCACATTTATTTTACAGAATATTTGACGTTCAATATTTCCTGAAACAGCAGCGATTTTGGATACAATATGCGATTTGCTGATGTGCAAGGGAACATTTTCTGCACTAGAATTTCTAACAATTAACGATTTTAATGGAATACTTAATACTTTATCCAATTAGTTTAGAAGCTTAAAAAACAGGAATCCAAATAAAAAGAATTTAAGATAAAATTGATTTTCATAAATATCATCGTTATTTTAAATAGATAATATTTTTTAAGTAACAACTGTACATTCAATTGCATACAAACATTTGTGAAAAATTCTCCATCTTTAAATTCATGCTTAAAGAATCATATCGCTATACCAATCTTCCAAGAGTAACATTTGTGAAGAAACTTTCACATCTAGCCATACAACTACTAAAGAGTCAATTCAGTGCACTATTTTGACTCCATTTTAGAACCATATACTGTACTTATACATTTCATCTGTTTTACAGGTCAGCCAAGCTATCAACTAATGTTTGCTCTTTCAGTACAGTAATGATATGGTGCTTTAATAACACAGCAATGCAGTCATGGAGTTTCAAGAAGCCTTCTATCTATCAAGTATAAAACATTAGACACCATGTCTTATTTATTAAAGAATACCATAGGTCAAGAAATAAATTTTTAAGATACCATGTCATGATAAAGAAGCAGATATTTACCATGCAGTTTATAAAAAAAGTAGCTATACTAAGTTCATCTTTTTTCTCTCAAGAAGTTGGTCAAGTCATCAGAATTGTATATCACATGCAGTACATCAGGATTGTCCTCTAGTTCAGAAGTCGGCACAACTAGCACTTCTTATCTAAACATTTATGTTAGACATTCAAGTAAATTAATTAGGGATTCATTTTGTATATAGTGGAGTCAGTACAAAGACCTATGTATTTTTTGTATTTTCAAATATTATATATAAGTGAACTAGGTATTGGCTTGTTTAAATATCACAGTTTAGAAAGTCAGCAATGTCAGAGAAAAGAAGCACCAAACCAACTAAACAATTGCAATGTCCCCTCTAACCCTCTTACAACATTTCATTTACACAACATATATGCCTATCCCATGGTCATATACGTGCAAGTCCTATTATTACCATTTTACAAGTGCAATAAGCTCTAATGACTTTACATAAAAAAGTAATTGCACCATCCATTCCTAATTATTTTTATTATAATAAATTGACAGTTTTCTTTCCCAAGGAAACGGCAAGACAAATAACATCCGAGCTTCTCAAATAAAATTGTGCAAAATACGTCAGTGCTCAGACTTCTGTTGTCACAATTCAACCTCAAGGGAAAAAGAATCAAAAGTAAAAAGAGGAAAAGAAGGTTTTTTTAAAAAAGGGACTATGCTCAGTGGAAGCAGTTTCTGTTTACAAAAGAGTTTTCAAGTTTCATGCATGTGTAAATGTATCAATAATGAAATATATAAAAACTGTTGCTCTCATGTTAAATATAAAACTAGAAGTAGACATGGCAATCAGTCTTTTTAGAAGCTAATTATGGAAAACGTGCATACTTTAAATTAGCGTGTAATCAATAAACGCCACATCAGTTCACCAATATCTCCCCCTCTTATATTTCAACATTCCTTCAATGTTTGTCATTTAAAACATTAAAAACTTTTGCATACATAAAAAAGGGAAAGGGGTCAAGAAATTGGAATTATAAAAGAGAGCATTACACATAATCAAATTATTTGGCAATACTTTGGCAAATACCAGTAACAAGATTTGCTGCCAACTTATGACTGCTTAAATTAAAATTTTTTTTCCCTCTCTCTCTCTCTCTCTTAGGAAAATAATGATCATGAAGGTTCCTGATGAAGAAGCAAGCAATGAATATGCAGTGGTAAAACCCACAGTATGATAACCCAGCATTTTTTTTAACATGATATACAATACAAAATATAAAATGGAAGGAGAGAACTTAAAGACCATCAACAAAAGTATTTCCATTTTATCTTCAACTTTGATATGAAAAATGGAAACTTGTTTTCGTTTCTCTCTTCTAAATTCTTGCAAAAACCTTTAAGACTAAACACAGTTCAAAACTTGAGTTTAAAATGTCTACACAAAAAAATTAAAAAATCTTCTTTCCTCTGGCAGAGTACAATATCATTGCTGTGAGACCCTCAGAATCCTTCGCTGATCAGTGTATACATTAGTTTTCTAAACATCATAACAAATGTTTCAAAATCACCTGACTAGAGTCTTCCAAATGGAAAACCCATTTTTAAGAGCAACAAGAAAAAACAACACAGCATATATGAACTGTATCTAACAAGCAAGTCAAAGAAAAGGGACATACAAATTTTAAGCAAAACTTGATTCCCTGTTAATAAAAAAAGAGGACACAGTCCTTACTTCAGTAACATCTAAGACAAATCACAATAAGGGATATGAGAATAAATATCAACATTTTTAAGAGTATTTAAAATGTCAGATAGAAAAGCCGACAGAGGATGGAGTCACAAGCTTAACATAAAGGCATTCCTGTGCCGACTTTCAGCCTCGTGTAAGGATAACTATTGCTCATTACTCTTCCAATTGCTAAATTCTTCATAACACAAAAATTATAGATCTGCAACTAATTTCAAGTCCTCTAACATGGGCTTCAATGGACCTAAAGCAATGCTAACCGTTTCTAGAGACAGTACATATCAATATTTAGACAATAAATAGTAAAACATATTATAACTATAGGATATAGTAATTAGGTAATAACAATCACAATAATGCTTAAACAACAAATGCATCAATGAATATTAACCCCCTCACTTTGTTTATGAATTAAAAAAATACACCTACTTACTGATGACAATGGCGCATGCAGAAGAAACAGAAGTAGTGGAGGATATAACAGAAGCAATACTACACATAACAGTTTCACCAATGTCAGCAGATAGAGTAGATGCAGAAGTATTGGTAGTAGTACTACTTGCCACAGCAGCAGGAGTGTGAGCAAGAAAAGCAGGTGCAGCAATAGTAGTAGTAGTATTAGTAGCAGTAGTAGTAGTAGTAGCAGCTGCAGCAGCAGCAGCAGCAGCAGGAGGAATAATAGTTGCAGCAGCAGTACTAGTAGTAGCTGTGGTAGCAACAGCAGCAGCAGTAGTAGCTGTGGCAACAACAGCAGAAACAGCAGCAGCAGCAGTAGTAGTAGTGGTAGCAGCGGCAGCAGTAGTAGTAGTAGTAGTAGTAGTAGTAGTA